GGTGGGCTAACTCAAACCCGTTGGTGCGTTTGTTTTAGTTTGCCCAGATCGGCGTGGCTGTTTCGCAATGTCGCTTGCCTTGGAAACAAGCCAGTCGGTTCCCGGTCAGTCTGTCGAGCAATTCAAGTTCTTTGGACTGTGCATGATCAACAGCGTCTTAACTAAAGGAGCCCATCACCTGGTACATTCCTATTGAATACTCCTTGCGCATGACGAATTCAGCGCCACAACAAGGCACCGCCAAGCACCCATGCACACGGCAACAACTAATCCATGCACACGGGGTGGCTTGCAACAAGCCGGCAACCGGTAACCATGAACTACAACACATTGTTCAGTGAACCACGCCCATCGCCATCAGCCTTACGTGCCTGACGCTAGGATTAATCGCGAAGTTGGACACTTTCGACGCAGAGGGTTCTTATTTACGGGCTTCTGGCTTAACATGAAACACCCCACCATTATGCTCACCGACCTGCCTACATATCCGTTTAGATGAAGGAAGCCATCGTCGTAATTTTTAAAAACTAATCGTAGGAGATTTATACGAAGCCTCGGCTCTCGGATTGGCGATAATGCAGCACGTTCCCGTTCGTATTAAATGGGAAATGCACCCAAAACTGGGCAATGATCGGACATGAATTGCTTTCCCAGAAACCCATCATCTTGTATGTACGTACAATTTAATGTACATACATATGTAATACCAATATGGCATGGTCCGTGTTGAGCCAATATTATTCGACGTCATGGGTTTCCGGCTACCAGGATCCCCTTGGTTGCCAAACCGGGCTGGAGAGTGTGATACAGTACTCCGTAAGCATTCTAATACTCCTCTCTCCTAACCGACAAAGGCCAAGCAGCCTAGTCTAGCAAGGCCGTCCGCGACGACAGTATTATGGCAGTGGCTCTATTGGGATGTCGGCAAGGATAACGTCATTTTTCTTTATGAGTGGAATCAGGTTCGGTAGTAATATCATACCATGCTTCTCTGGCACTGGCTTGAAGAGCGAATTCACCCCGTACCGAGAGTGATGTTGCGGGGCGCCAGGCCAGGGGCAGCGGCCTGGCGGCCTCAACCGTCGTAACCCGTTACATGTGGCGCTGCCAAACGACACCACCACGCAGGCACTCGAGCGGAGCAGACGACGAAGTGGTGTGGAGGGAGCAAATGAAAGTGGACGGGGTTTGGCTGTGCGTTGCTTGAGTCGTTGCGGTTTGAAACGGAGCCACAGAGCCAATGTTTTGCAACTTCACCGCTTCTTTGCACAAAAAGCACGCAAACCTGCTGCCCTCATAGGACCGTTCCAGCCAATCTGCAAGGAACCAGGAACAGACAGACACGTGTAGAGGCAAGTCCAGGGGCATGGTGTGGATGTTTCGTACGCATATTGTATTATGTTGAGCGTCATACTGATCACATGAAGCAGTCTGGGCCGACGTTTTCTGCAATATCTGTCATTCAAGACGGTGATGACATACTCCGTACATACATGGACGTTTCAGTTGGAGCCAACAAGTCTTGGTACATCATCCAGTATTTCTCCGGGACTCACCGAGTCGCCTGCTTCGGAGCTGTATGTACTTGGCACAAGGATGGACCTGTCTTGCTAGCGACGCGGCATTGTATATTTGTTTCACAACCAGCATTTTGCAAGGCTGTTCTTGTAAATATGTATAGACACACAAAACCGTCTCAAGAAGTCTTGCGCGATGGACATGTTACAAACATGGAGTTCTGCAGATCGTCTTATGTACAGAGCTACTCCAACTAGTCACGGACGGCTGAGCATCACGATTACGACGATTTCACTTGATTATCGGTTCTTCCCCGCTTTGTTTCGGTTAGTCTCCAGGTTGACGCCACAGAACTTCCGGCTGTACTGTACGGGGCTAGAGCGGCGTCGACAAAGGAGGAAAATCATTCTCACTTTATCTTCATATACCTATCTCCGTGGCAGAAGCTGCTCATTTCAACTCTCCGATTAGGCGTGTGCAAAAAAGATGAGGGGAAAAGAGAATCCTTGGTGCTGTTGGGACGTGACATGTTGGAAAAGGCTTCAACTGGACGCGCTGACTCGTGCGTCCAACTGAGTCAAGTCCATCCAAGACATTTCCCCCTCCGCGTGGCACGATTGCTACTATTACTCAGCAATCAGGGAGCAACTTGCAAAATACACCAATGCTCTGAGAGCCGTGTGCATGCCCGCAACCACAAGGTTTTCTCCCGAAGCCATGAGGAGGACCAAAACTGAAAATCAACAAGCCGCCAACGGGGCGGGGCATCCATGCCAACTACCCGCGCGGCCCGTCCTGGGAGGCATTGCCATGGCCAATCTGTGGATGGTGGCGATACGCTTGCGACTAGTATTTAATCGTCCAGTATCTTGAAACAACCCATCTGATGTGGCTGCTGGCCGTTCCCAGCCTCGGCCGCTCCACTCCGTATCCCTCTCCGTGCAAGCAGAGGGTGTCATGGCAAGCGCACTCAAATTTATCAGCGGACGTCAATGGCCGTTTGGCTTCAATCCCAGAGAGGGAGAGATCATTCTCAACGTAGCCAGTTGATCCAGAGTCTGTCACAGAGGAAAGTACATATTCTGCCTGCCGGCCGCTTGCCCGTGACAGACATGACTAATATATTTGCACAGTACCAGACACCAAACGGGCATCATGGATCAGACAGTTTAGCTCGGTCTGGTGGGTGCGCTGGTTGCGAGGCTAAGCTATAGGCAGTGTTGGTCAGAGAGGATGCTCCTCGTTACCCTTGGAACATGGGAATGGCCTGTCTTCGCAGATGAGTTTCTGGAGTCCTCCCCATCCGGACGACGTGGAGATTAAACTCTGTCGTCACCAGCTACAACTGCTACGGGCCGTGTATTCAGCTCCGTATTGTTGCCGTCAACTCGAGTTTCTAGGGTCGACTCGCATTTAGTGGCGTCGAGATTCGGCTTCCAAGGAGCGTCGACACCAAAAAGATGGTAGACGACTTGTATCACGTCCGAAACAGATTATCAGAAATCATTCTGGAATAGTTTCTACCAACACGTTTAGTGCAAAGTATCAATACCAGCAGCCATACGGTATGCACTTTGCGAACGCACCATCAGTCACCCAGAAGTCTCCAACTCTCAAAATGACCTCAATAATTCAACAACGCGATCACATCTTATCCAATTTTCAATAGGCCGGGATATCCGAAAGTTAAGTCAATAGTCCAGAACAATTCCATGCATGAATGTTTCTTCCCGGGTGGTCCCCATAGCGTACCTGCGTACGTAACGGGAATCTTGGAGAGAGCACCTGTATGCACAGCACATGCATCAATGAGCTTGAATGAGCCAAGGACTTGATCTTGGCAGAGTTTGTTACCTGGCACAGCTGAGCTGGTGACCGATAAGGCGTCATGGTTGTCACGCCCCTGGCAGCCATGGCCAATGCTGACGTATGTACGCCAGTGCTTCAATGTCGCAATTGTCTCCGGCACCGAGTATGGGGGACACATGCATAGGATTGAAGACGTTGCAAAATGAGCCTCGCACACCTTCATCTCGTTGCTCCTCGACTCAGTGTCGTCGTGAGACGGAGCCCAAATACCCCGAGCGAATGAGTGTGGTCAACCAGGTCACGTCAACATGGCCTCCTCGTCTTGGAACAGCTAGCAAAGATGTCCCGTCTTCTACAACATTGCATTGGCGACGCCATTTGGGCACAGGTCCGGTTCAACTTGGGGGCGACTTTGGGCCATTACAGCCCATTGACACGTGCGTTTTGGCCCTTTGGCTCATCATCCTTTTGGTTCGTCACAACCATTCGATGGGCGCAGAGGTGAGTCGGCGCGAGAAGGACCCAATCACGGCGCTGCTCATGAGCATCTCGTTGGTCAAGCTTTCTTAGGTGACATCTGCTTGCCCTGCGAAAATGATCGACGCCCACCCGCGGCTTGAAATCGGCCCTGCCGTCGCAGGCAGAACCAAGATTATTAAACCCCATCGCCGAGATGAACATGTTACATGGCGTCCAGCGGTGCACCAGGTGTCCACGTAGCAGTGTTGCAACCATTGCCGGTGTCTCTCCATCAACGTCCTTTCAACATCCGGGTATTGCTCCATCTGGACGCATTACCCAGTCGGCGGTTTGCCACGACAGTGCTCAATGTTGGGCATTGGGTTTGCCAGCAGAATGCGCGGGCTACGTTGATGAATGTTTTGTTCAGACAAAGGTTAAAATTACAACAACTACCTTCCTTATGCTCGAATATGCGCGACCATGTGACCAGCCAGGAATTTTTTACATCCTGGAGGTGCGCGCTACAGTGTGCATAATTGAAAACAAGGTCTATCGTTTCGAGAAAGTATAAAATCCTAAATTTTATGAGAGGGTGCCGTCTCATATAGCGGATTCATCTGCCGGGGGAGATATGTGCCGACTGGGGATGAAACGCCGCCAAACAGTGGCAAATTCCTTTAATATGCGGATTTCTGAATGAATTTGTGTGTTTGAGGGTTTTCGGCATGGTCCCAATCGATACATTGAATGCGCGTCAGAAGTACTATGCATTTGCCTGCAAAGCTTGGACGGGAGCGATGATGTGTCGCGCGCACGAGCCTCGAGCACTGTGACAACTACGAAGTGAGATATGTATAGGGGTAGGTGAGGGAGAGAAACTGTGAAATGCACTTCACCCTCACGACTACAGAGTATACGCCTAGCAATCTCGCGTCTACTTGATGAAGAGATGGGATCGCAAGGGCGTAGGCCGCAAGTGACGGTGGATAGTCTCGCGAATATATACCTGCGAAGCGCAGTAGGAAAACGTTTATAATAGTGCAATTGCTATCATTCCTCACGCTGCCTCCGCGACACTGCAAAACATTGCTGTTCATTACCCTGCCTCGTCCAAAAAGTCTCCTCCGCACTGCATGAAATCCTCAACAGGTCATCACGATACCAGCCTCCTCACATCCAATCAACACAAGGCGTATTACCAAAACTCAATACTATCCCACCGTCGTCTTCAAAAAAGCCTCATGTCGCCGAATGAAAGCCTCCACAGCATCCACAAACCTATCCAGCTCACGCCTCGGTGTGCCCAGTATCAACGCAATAAACCCTCGTCTCGCCACCCAAAACCCATTCTCCAGCATTTCCAACCAAAACAGCTCCCTCAGCTCGCTCCTCTCTTCGACATCATCTCCATCTCGGATATCCTTTTCCCCATTCACGGGAAAGTGAGCCGTCATAACCGTTCCCAATCCCGTGAAGCACAGTATACTGTCCCTGCTCGCCTCATTCAGACGGCCCAGGAACTCGGTCCCCAGTGCCGTAAACTCATTCGCCACCGAGGGCGTGTAAATCTCCGTGAGGCCAGCGTGCCCCGCATGCATAGCAAGCGTGTTGTTGTTGAAGGTGCCCGAGTGAGGCAGGCAATCCGGCTGCGAGGGATCATACGCAGCCATCATGTCCTCCCGGCCGCCAAACGCACCAAACGTAATGCCGCCGCCGAGCCACTTTCCAAACGTCTTGAGATCCGGCGTGACGCCGCGAATAGAAGCGAGGCCGTGCGCGCAAAGACGCGAAGTCATGACCTCGTCCATGATGAACACGACACCTGCCTGTCGCCACGGCAAATTAGCAACCCAACATCGGCGCGCCCAACAGTTGACACGTATCAGGTCAAAAAAAGGGGGGGGGACTGACCTTCCTGGCAGCGTCCTCGATAGCCTTGAGAAACTCTTCTGTCGCGACGATACAGCCTCCCGCCCCTTGCATCGCCTCTAGGAGAACGGCCGCCACGCCTTCGTCCTGAATCGCCCTCGTCGCGCCATCCACATCATTGTACTTGGCTACAATCCAGTCGTCCAGATCAACGTTATTGGCAGCTGGTTTCCCACCCGCAAAGCCTAGCACGCCTCCGTGGTAGGCGCCACCAAAGACCACGACCTTGCGCTTCTTGGTGAAGCGTCTCGCGGCAGCGAGGGCTTGGAGATTGGCCTCGGTGCCGGAGTTTGTGAAGCGGACTTTGGACACGTTGAAGCGGGCGCATATGGCGCTTGCAAGGGACTGCTCGGCGCGCGTGGTGCCGCTGAGGTTGAGGCCGATGGTGGTCAGGACGGTGGTGATGGTTTTTCGGATGACGGGGGAGGAGTGGCCGTAGAGGGCGGCGGTGAACTCGCCCGTGAAGTCGGTGTATCTGGCGCTTTTTTAGAAGCAATGTACGATATTCACTCCTTGCTTGACAAGGCCTCTGTGGTTGGTCGTGGGCACTGGAGACGAGGGTGTGGCAGTTGGGGAGGCAACGCACGTCGTGCCGTCTTCAGAAGTGACCTGATATCCATGCCCAGACTTGATATACAGCGGGAACGGGTCCGCATGTAGTACGGCTCGCGTATTGCCCCCGGGGAGAGAGTTTGATGCTTCCGCGTGGAGTGCTTTGGATTTGGGGTTCTGCTGAATGTACCTGGCCCTTGCGTGTTCCAATGTTGTCCCAAGTTCCTGCAAGGCAAACATGATACGGAGTGAATGACGCCCCTTGGACACCAGAATGAAAAAAGCAAAGGGGACAAAGGCTCTAGCCAATTTATGTCGTAATGTGGCCAGATCAAATACCCCTCAATAAACCATCAGGACAAACTTATACGGCCAGTCGCAACTACAGAGTGGCGTAACATCCAATTGGTCCGCTGCACAATCAAGACCCACCTCCAACCCGGGGAAGCAAGACGAAACCCGTCTCTGTAGCTAACGATTATAACTTTTACATCAACCTCCAACATCCATATCCGCCACGCCCGTCCAACCACCCCCATCCCAGTCGACTCTTCACCAAAGCGCCTACACAGAGACAAAGAGAGAGAGAGAGAGAGAAAAGGGACAAAAAAGAAATGGACTACCAAAACCGCGCGGGCTCAAAATTCGGCGGCGGCGGCGTGGCCTCCCACTCCGCCACCAACGCCGACCGCCGCGAACGCCTGCGCAAGCTGGCCCTCGAAACAATCGACCTCGACAAGGACCCCTACTTCTTCAAGAACCACGTCGGCTCCTTCGAATGCCGCCTCTGCCTGACGGTGCACCAGAACGACGGCTCGTACCTCGCGCACACCCAGGGCAAGAAGCACCAGACCAACCTCGCGCGCCGCGCCGCCCGCGAGCAGCGGGAGGGCAAGGCCAACATCGACCCGGCCACGGGCCTCCCCTCGAGCGTCGCCGCCTCCTTCGCGGGCGGCGGCGCGCGCCGCAACGCCGTCAAGATCGGCCGCCCCGGCTACAAGATCACCAAGATCCGGGACCCCGTCACCAGGCAGCAGGGCCTGCTGTTCCAGCTGCAGTACCCCGAGGCCGCGCCCGACATGAGCCCCAAGTGGCAGGTCATGAATGCGTTCACGCAGCGCGTCGAGGAGCCCGACAAGAACTTTCAGTACCTGCTCGTGGCCGCCGAGCCCTACGAGACGGTCGGGTTCAAGATCCCCGCCAGGGAGCTGGACAAGAGGGAAGGCAGGGGCTTCTGCTTCTGGGACCCGGACGCCAAGGAGTTTTGGATACAGATCATGTTCATGACGGAGCGGGAGGAGAGGTTCAACGCCGCCCCGGGGTTGGCTGCCAGGAGATGAGCAAGTTGAAAAGCGGCGAGGTTTTTAAAGCGATGGATGGGCGGAACAAGGAGTCTCGAGGAATTGTTCAAGAGAGCGTTTGCGAGACATGAGAATGACGGCCACGTCAGCATCAAGGCGCGTGCCGTTGGCAGCAATGGAGGACTGTCAAGGAAGAATCTTGGCCGCAGAATGCACACAGCTGTGGAGAAGCAAATCGGCCTTTGGTGGCCGCATGTAATTTTAGTCAGTTCATGATACAAGGACCAGAAAGTAGGAAACATCACGTATATACCCATCCATAAATAGACTAATGCCCATCGCCGTGTTCAAGGCTACGTAAAACTCGCCCATCTAGCGCTGAACTACATAGCTTTGCGCAAAGGATTCCGCCAAGTGGCACACGTCCCTCATCTCATGTACCTCGCCATCACCGTGTTGTCTCTGACAAGCACTCATGCATGACAGAGAACGCTCTGCATTTATTCCGTGCGATACATGCATGCCTAACCATTGAACACATTGCGCCAACTCTCAAAGCCAGGCACTTTCACCACAACAATACATCCATGCATCCCTCAAGTCATATTCATCTTGATATAAAAATCCCAAGCAATAACACGCCGCCTCGATGCAAAACCCTAGTTTTTCACCTATCGAAAGTTATTATCGAATCGTTTAAAGGTGTATCCAATAAATGGCAGGCTCATCTCTGGCGACTCTTCAATCTGGCGGCCCTGCTGCAATGCCTGAGCTTTGAGAACGGTAGCATTATCAGTCTGGTCAATCTCGTCGGTAGGGAAGTAGGTGGTGTCAATGTTAGATGTCAGGCGAGGCTCGAATGGAGCTCGGATACGGCGAAGACTGTCAAATTCGACACCACGGAAGAAGGCATGGTTCTTGATTTCGTGGGCACCCCCCCGTCCAAGACGGTTCTCAGTGTTACAAACCATACTAGACAACACATTAGTTGGGTCGTGGTAAGGATTAACAGGAGGTTGGCTAACCTTCGAATCAAGTTTTCAGCCTCTATACCCAGCGTGATGTCGTCTGGAAAGTACAGAGTTTGTCGCCAATTGACAATCTTACGATAGGTGTCGTGACTGTCCTCGGCACAGAACGGAGGCCATCCAACTAAACATTCAAACATGATCGTCCCCAACGACCACCAGTCACAATCAAATGAGTATCCATGGCCGGTGAAAATCTCAGGGGCGATGTAATCAGGCGTGCCAACAGTAGAGTAGGCCATAAGTCTTCGTGACCGTCGCCAGTCGTTGATTTGAGAACGGTTGCTGACGGTGAGGTTAATCTGATCGATGGCAACGGAGCTTCTGTCACGGGGCCTGTTGGATCGCCCTTGTAAAAGCTGCTGGTAGTAATTGTTATCGTGTAGGCGGTGGAAGCCTGTGGAAAGACCGAAATCAGTCAGCTTGACATGACCGCCTCGATCCAGCAGTATGTTGTCAGGCTTGATATCTCTGCAAGTGGATTAGGTTAGAAGGATTCTGATTTGAACAGGCAGGCAAACAGAGGAAGAAGAGCTAGCTGACCGGTGAATAAAACCGAGCTTGTGAACTGCCTCAATAGCAAGAACGATTTCGGCAATGTAGAATCGAGTAATGTCTTCGGAGAAAATCTCGTACTTGATAAGCATCGTCATCAAGTCACCACCAGGCAGAAACTCCATTAGCATGTATAAGAAGTATGCGTCCTGGAACGTGGTGTAGAGCTTAACGACCCAGGGACTGTCCGACTCGGCCAAGATATCACGCTCAGATCGCACATGAGCGAGCTGGTCCTTTTTAAACATTTCCGTCTTGATTAAGGACTTCATGGCATAAACTTTGCCATCTCCTTTCTTCTGCACCAGCTTGACCTCACCAAAGGCGCCCTTGCCGATAATTTTAACCGTGTTGTAGTTTTCGGGCTTGTCTTTGGTTCGCAGAAAACGCAGATACTGCCCCTCCTTGCGGCCAGCAGTCGACCACAGCTGCTCTTTCCTAGTGGCACTCTGTGAAGGATCTTGAAGCTTTTGCTCCAGCTCGCTTTGTCTAGATGGGGATGTATCAGAAAACAGCTTGGACAGTCGCAGCCACATTGAAGAATGAATACAGAGAGGGATGTGTGTGTGTGTATGTGTGTAAGACGTACCTTTGGTTGCGCTCACGGGCTCGCTTCACACTGTCCTTGAAGAAATCCGCAGCCAGCTGTGAGCATTTCTTCTGGTTACTGTTGGCGTTGGTGCCATAGCGATCTGGGTTCCTCTCGGGAGCGGCCTGGAACTCGCTACCGGTGGGCGCGGTTTGAGAAGGCAGAGGCGGCGCATTCGCATTGGAGTAGTTGGTATAGCCGCCAGGTTGGCTACCAGCTGTTCGTGGGCGCTGCGAGGAAGAAGGCCCGCGGGGAGCAACTCTTGCGGCACCACCCAGATTCTGATGAGAGAACTGGTGGGCTAGACCGGTGTTTGGGTCATTGGTGCCGGGGGTATTGGACCTCGCCTGATAGTAGCCATTCTGGGCATGGGCATAGTCGTTGTTGACGGCTTGTGCAGGATAGCCAGCAGGATAGGCGGCACCAGGCTGGGCAAAGTAGCCCTGGGGGGCATAACCGCCAGCATAGGCCTGTTGTTGTGGTTGAAGGCCTCCTTGGGCCTGCTGTGGGTTAGGCGGTGGGAAGACGGGCTGGGGGAACGTCGATGGTGTCGTGGGGTAGGCTCGGTCGTTTACTGGAAGGCGGTCATTATTGCCAAAGTTGAGGTGCAGGCGGTTGCCGTTGGGGTCCATGATTGGGATTGACGATTGTGCTGGCAATGGCCCGCGACGATCCGAGCTGTCTAGGGGGGATTGGACTCGACGGACGACGGCAGCGGCGTGGTGGTGAAGGACCAAGGTCGAGAGTCGCAGGTCGAGGGGTTGTGGTGTTGGTTAAGGGGACGATGCGGTGCTTAGTTAGTGTTCAGTGCTCAGTGCCAGGTTAAGGAAGGCGCGGTGGAACCTCATGTGCTGTTTCCTTCTAGTTTGGACCTGAGAATGCGGCGGTGGCGCCAGAACCTCGGGGCATTCAGCCATTCAATCTTTAGCCATCCGCTCATTGATTGCATTCATTTCATTCAGGCCACAGGAAAACAGCGGGACCCGACACGATTGGATCGTCAAGGTAATGTTTTCTAGTATTGCTTTTTTAATGGTGGTCGGCTAACGTTGTCACTTGTGTTGATGGATTCAGGCTGGCCGTCACCAAGAGAACGGAGACGGACAGTCTGCGGCACAAGATATTTATCCATTACGAAGCATACACTAATATACTACAGTATGCTTTAGTGGTTCATCCTTTTTACCACCCACTTGCTTCTCCCATCCGTCAATTCGACAACCGATGGTCGTTCCGTGCTCTCTGAAGTCGAGGATGAGGGGCGGTCAACCCGCAGCTGTCAACACAACAAAACTCGAGCACGAGTCCCACGACGCCACTTATCTACGCCCAGGGGCTGCCCGTGGTGGGGACCAGGGGAAGTACTTTTACACTCAGCGTCTTGCAACCTGGTTGTGTGCCAGTCGATTTGATTGCTCGCCCAAGTTGCTTGAGTACCACGCGGTGCAAGTCGCTCAGTTTGCCGTAGCATACTCCGTAGCAACAAGTCATTCGTGGGAGTAGCTGCCCGGGGCCAGAGGGGCGTCGTAGCGCGTGTCATGCTGCATGTCTCAAACCCGTCACAGAGGGTGGTCGGCGTGGTCCATCACTCATCAACGACAGCTCGCAACCCGGCCCGTCAACATCACGCCTTGTGTAGCTCGACCGCGTGTCCGGCCGAGAAATGGAAGGACCCTGTCCTGGGCAGGGCAGTTTGCTCCAAAGCTTTCAAAATTATGGAGTAGCCTTTCTTAAATCTGAGTGCGGAAGCGGGCCGTCTGCTCATGTGGACATGTTGATGCAGTCTGCGCAGTAGTTACTCCAGAGTAGGCATCACGGGCTTTTTATCGCGCTTCTCGTCTTCTCCACCGTTTCTCCTGCACACCGACAATTTTCCACAACACTTGACTGCTCCGACAAAGTACGTTGATCCATCACGGTGCACAAGTTCCCATCTCATTCCCCGGTGCCGACGAGTAATTGTACACCCCAGGTCCATCACCTTCAGACCTCCGACATGATGGCATTGCCATTGCACTTCCGTCTGCCGCTTCCACGAACCAAATAACTACATACCTTATTAGAGCTTTGCTATGCCATGTTTGTGGCAGCCGGCGGGGTTTTCATGCACATAGGGACTAGGGAGTGAACAGCCTAATGCAAGGTGCTCTACTTCGTACGGGTGCCAAACATGAAATATGGTGATAGTAAGGCGCGCCATGGTGCTCCGGACGTGACGGAGTGACAAGACGGCACGTTTGATCACATGGTCGACTAAGCAGCCTCTATGAGATAAACATCAGTTGGAGAATCTAGAATTAGTATCGTACAAAATTTACATTTGCATTCGCGGTGATGCTCACCAGGCCCGTCGTAGTTCGGGGACGTACTCCGTAGTGAGCTCAACCTGGAGCTCGTTCGTTTTTCCATTCCGAGCCTTATCAGACGCCATCTCCTTATCGCACCCAATTTTTTTTGCCCGGCATCGACGACGACGCCCCAACCAGCACTCTGCTGCTCTACATCTCGGCGCGGCGTCACAAGCGCCAACGGCCATTTTGTACACATCCTTAATTTTCCTCCTTGGTTCGAGTAATTCACACACGGTCATTTACACGAAGACCGTCGAAATGGACGAGCAGCAAAAGGCCGAAAAGACCCGTGCCGGGGCAGGTCTTCCCCCGAAACCTCGCAACCCGGCTCTCAAAATGCTCGGCCTCCCTGCGCTACCCAAGAAGCTCCCCTCACGGAACTGGATGATTTTCTGGGCCATCACAGGCGCCTTCACCACGGCTATCGTCTACGACAAGCGCGAGAAGAACCGCGCGACCGCGAAATGGCGCCGCGCCGTCGAGCCCTTGTCCCGCGAGCTGATCGGCCCTGCCAACGCCCTGCCCCGAAAACTCACCGTCTATCTGGAGGCACCGCCCGGCGATGGGCTGCGCGTCGCTCAGGACCATTTCATCGAATATGTGAAGCCGGTGCTGTCGGCGTCCGGGCTGGACTGGGAGTTTGTCCAGGGGAGGCAGCAGGGCGACGTACGGGCGGCAGTGGCAGAAAAGATTCGGCGGTCGAGAATGGCCGATGAGCGTCCGGGCGAGGAGATCCCCAAGACGGACGATTCCATCGTCGAGGACATGCGGAAGAAGATGGGCCTCAGGGAGTATGAGGGCGTCAAGGGTGATATTGTCATCGGGCGCCATGCCTGGAAGGAGTATATGCGCGGTCTGCACGAGGGCTGGCTCGGTCCTCTGGACGCGCCGCCTCTGCCGGAACCAGAGCCCACCGTAGACACAAAGCCCGACTCCGAGGCTCCTCCAGCCGATGACGGGGCCGCCGAGAGCAAACCCGAAGAGAAAAAGGAGGAACAAAAGAAGGAAGACAAGCCGTCCCGGCCGCCGCAGCCCCGCCCGCACAACACCACAGACGACTACGACTCCGTCTCTCTCCCCGTCCACATGCCGTCCGAATTCTCCCCCTCGGCTACCATCCCATTCCCCCATCGCCTTGGCTTCACCCAGACATTCGTCCGCCTCGGCCGCTTCCTCAATCGCCGCAAGCTCGCCGACGACATCGGCCAGCAGGTAGCGGCTGTCTGTTTCGCCGCCGCCCGCGACTACCGCGAGGCCGACGGCCAGTACGAGCAGCAGCTCCTCCTGGAACAAGAAGAGCGGGACTGGCCCAAGAGCACATGGAAGGAAGAGGAGCCCGCCACGGAAGAGGACAAGAAAAAGGTTGCTTCCGAACCCAAAAAGGAGAGAATCTGGGCGAGCCCCATGGTCATCGATGCGCGAATCGCGCAGCGCATGAGGCGCTTCGAGATCCAGCCCCAAGACGAGGAGCGCGCGGCCAAGATTATCGTGCCGGAGGAGGAGGTCGAGGGCTGGATCAAGGGCAGCCTGAGGAGCCTCTGGAGATGGGGGGCTCGCTCGTGGGATGAAAAGCCCAAGGGTCCCAACGTCGGCAACTTGGACGATGACTAGGCTGTCCTCGAGGAGAGGGAATTCAGCATCCAAGCCCTGCGGCGACTTGTACTATTATATGTATGTTATGTACACAACAACTTATAGGCTAGAAAGGGGAAAGGGGGAGGCAAGCAACCAGCCGGCCATGGCACCACCTACTCAATATCATTGAATAACTTGACTCGCTGTCCCCATCACCGCCAGTAGCTTCAACGTACTAGTCACTATTCATCGCTATCTGAGCCGTAGTCCACCAGGGCGCTCTTCTTCTCCGGCCTCTCAGCCGACGCCGTCTTCTCGTCCGCCTCCACGTTCCCGGCAGGCTTCCCATCCCGACTCTGACTCTCGGCCAGCCTCTGCGCCCCATCCGCCCTCCTCCTCACCACCGCCTTCTCCCTATCCCTATCCCTCCTCTTCCTCTTCCTCCCAACGCCCCAGTCCTCCCCCTCGTCGTGCCCCTCGTCCACTGCCTCCCCGCCACTCCCCCTCCGCCTCTGCAGCTCCCGAAACGCCCTCACCCCGTCCTCCGTCTCCCGCCTCACCCTCTCCTCCTCCTTCCTCCTCGCGGCGACGACCTCGTCCAGAAACTCAATCTCGTCGTCGTCCAGCGCCCGAAACTGGTTCCGAATCTTGTTCTGCTCCTCAAAAGCGGCCTGTTTGGCGGCTGTGCTCGGCCCAGGGTGCGGCATTAGCCCCCGTCCAGTGCTCCCCAGGCAGACAGAGATGGCGATGAAAAAGGGGACAGAATAACAGGGACACCCACCTTTGTTGGCTTGCAACACGTCATATAGACTTCTCTCTTCCCCCGCCGCACCCTTCAGCCTCTCCTCCTCTCTTCGCTTCCGGTCGTTCTCCAGTTCCTGCTGCACGGCCTCCCATTCTGTGCTCTTGGCTAACCGTTCACGGGGCGCGGCTTCCTTTGGTTCCGTGTCGGGGGAAGTGTTTATTGTCCCGCCCGATACGAACCGGTTTGACATGATGGCGGAAAATACCGAGTCAAAGATTGGCCCGCGGGGGGCAGCAATTAGGAGAGGTGGATGAGGTTGGATGAGGCTAGTTGTGAGGCCAGGTGACCACAGGTAGATAGATGGACGTCATCAAATTGGTACGGAAAGAGCTCTTGTAGTATTTAATTGATTCCCTCACAAATTGGGGTTGTTGGCTGCTTTTATAGGAGTGCCTCGTGCAAGTGAGAGTTGGGATATATCTACGATACTGACCATCAAGCATTGGCGTTTCCCCATTGTCAAGAGGTTTACTATTCCGAGAATCAGCCGACAGCCTCTCGAAACAACACCGGTCTTGCTCTGCTCTGTTCACATGCACCAAGTAATTCGAATCATTATTCGCAGCCATTTCAATATTTTTTAAAGCTATTCATCGAGTTGGCGTCTAAAGGTACCTGTAGGTGCGGCCTTCTCGCATGACGCCTCTCAAGTAACCACTGGTCAGAATACCGCATTCTTGCCAGGCCCATCACCAGGTCTTAGTCTGCCAACCACCATTTGTAAACTCCTAAAAAACATGCCTGAGCAGCTCCCAGCTCATGTTCCGCAAAGCGAACGACTGTATGTGGTAAAGGCCACCCAAGTACCAGAGCAACATTGCCTCGCCCACTGAAAATCAGGAACGCTCTTCAAGTCATGAATCAAAATCCAACTGATGAGGATACATGAGTACATGTTCCTGCACCAAGCAAATTCGTCATTAAACCTGGACGCACAAAACTCCTGATCCGAGAAATGTAATCCAGTGCGTCTCTACTAAAATGCCAGCCCATGACGGGAGGGTAAAAAACACTTCTAATATCGTTTGGAAAAGAAATCCACTGAAGCGATGCTATGCCAACTTAGCCAGGCCAAGAGGCATATGACGGGCTATTCACCAAGCTTCGCGGTAGAATGTGAATGATATGGAGAGAAAAGAGGTCAAAAAGAAAAGAAAAAAAGAGCCCCAAAAGCGCAACGACAGGGACTAAACAACCTGCCCAAAGTCCCGTTTTACCCGCTGAAAACAATGCATAACCGTCTCATGAGCGAAAATAAAAAAACCCAAAAATAATCTTGTCCGTCTTGTCATCCCAGTTGGCCCCCATATTCGAAAGGCATAATGCAATGAGATACTGTTCCCAAACTTTTATTGTCTCTATACTGCATCATGACAGCGTCCATCGCCTGGTAAAAGTGTAACAACACTGTCACAGTTGTGTTGTGATTTGACGCCAGCGCAGAGGCAAAATCGTGTCGTCCACTTCAAAAGCCAGTTGTCTGGTGACAAGTATGTCCTTCGGCGTCGTCAAAACAAATAAAAATAAAAACCCTTGCCGGCGACAGCTATCCCAACGATGACAATTCCATGCCACTCTGATGCCACCTAAATCACAAATTATCATCTGATTTAAACATGATATATCGTCTGATAATGCTGAAAACAGAGCGACTGGCCAATGTCAATCGCGTTGCTCTAAGCTGTCGTGGCCAAATATGGTACCAGGGGAAGGTAAATTTCCTCCCGCAACCAAAATCGCAAGTTGCAAAACACCCATGATAGCCGTGTAAATGTAGAATCTATAGAGGATCAAAGCCCCGTTCCGTAGTGTGTCAAAGCCAAAACGCCGCAATGTGCCGATTAATAACGTGTACCAAGGAAGAATAGTTTGAATCGCCGCATACAACTCGATGAAATTCCACTTCGAAGTCCAAGCGCATACGTGCAATTTGATACAGTTCGTAGCGAAGGTCGTCATACATGGGTCGAGTGTCGATAGCCAGCAATCAACCCAATAAAAAACAAGCCATAGAAGAAAAAATACCACAAGCTGATCGCGTGAAACCTTTTGCGTTTTTTTGTCATGCCGGGGTATCTGGAGAAAAAAGTCGTCCTGAAGAAACGCATAGAAAATTCGTAGCCATTACAAAAACTTCTTCAACATCTGAAGCCCCTCTAGCAATTCTTGGTTGCGAGGGAAATAAAAGCAGTACTGGCCTCTTCGGAGGATCCAGTAGATAAAAACTGAAATTCTTGTTTTGTTTTCGCATCAGCCCACCACCTGTTGGCCATATCCGTGAGACACAAAGTAAGGAGTTTGCTTCATAGGACCAACACAGCCAGGGCAGCTGCATTCGCCAATCCCATGGTCCCACCCGCCGTGATTATAGGAGTAGTGGGAGCTATATGGAGTCTGGCGATGCTGGTAGAAGGAGCTGTGGGCAGGCGGTTGAGGGTACCGACTGCTGTACTGTGCGGCGGCCTGAGCGAACCACTCGTTATAGCGAGCATTGCTAGACGTAGCAGACATAACATACTCGGGAGTGCCGTATCCAGAGTCTGGTGGCGTCAAAGGGGCATTCCACGGGTTATGAGCCCAAGGAGCATCGCGGGAGCGATACGTCTGCTGTTGGGCCTTGATGGCCTGATAACGATCGAACTCGGCAGCCTGTTCTTGCACATAGCGGGAATGCGGCGATTGGCGGCTGCTGTTATATCTTGCAAGCTCGGTGTCGATCGCAGGTACCAGAGAGGCAAGTCGTTCACGGTTTGCCTGGACTGCCTGTCGCTTCTTCATCTGCTGCCACTCGCGCCAGTTGTCTAGCCAAGCCTGATAATCCTTGCTGAGGTCGAGATTGACGTAGAGTCTCCAGCCCATGGCCTGGACCCACTCAAACTCCAAAGTATTCAGTTCCGTCACTGGAATGCCACTGACTTCGGACCAGGATCGATTCTGGAACGTGTTATCATCAAGAAACTTGCTGCCCAAGAGGAGCGAGACAGTCAAGTATCGCCACACTTGGCCTTCAGACACCTTGTAAGGACCCTGCCCTTTAATAGCGTTGATCCGCTTGGCAAGATAGTTCATGCCCAGCAGGATCGTGGTGCTAGGAAGTCGTGTTGAAGTGAGGATTTGGGTGACAAACTTGCGAAACCCCGAAGTGATTGTAGCATCAGGAGTGACAACACGCACAGCCATTTCACTAACGTATTCTGCCATCACGTCGACCTCGTAATCGAGGACGGCACACACGCCACCCGGCATGATGGAAGTATTGAGATGAGAATCCGACTAAGATCAGCAGTGACCTTGGTCGGAAGATTGAGCTTGTCGAGAAGAGACGTGACAAAAGATGGTGACGTCTCCAAAGTGACAAGCCGGGAACAAAATGACGTTAAAAAGAAAGGGAAGAAGGGGGAAGAAACCAGATGATTCTGTTTCAGGACCGGTAAGCCATTTAATGCCTATTCTCTATTGCCGTACTGTGTGACAATGTAGCCTAGACGTTTATGCTGGGAAAATGGTCGAGAAAAGACGCGTTGAAAATGATGTTTGCTGGCGGAACTCGGATCAAACGACTAAGGGAATCGCGATGTTCGAGTGGTGCAAAGGAGATCACACTCTTGTCCACCGTGGCACTCAACGCGAGTCAAAGCGAGGGAAGCGAGGAGCAGAGTGCGAAGCAACCTGTCTCTAAATTGTCAGTAAAAACGTGTTCGTGCTCAGTTTTTTAAACATTGGCCTATGTATGTTCGGGATGTGCGCTTTGAAGTTGGTTGGAGTTTAAACATGTGAGGCGCGGGTGCCGTTCATTCGGGTTCCCAAAAACCCAGCTATTTGACCGATACAGCACAGAGCCGTTCGGTCCGTAGGAGCCGGGAACAACAGTGACCACGCAGATCAGTCTCGTTCAAGTCCATATTTCAATGCCCAAACCAACCAACACAAACACAACACATAGCGTACAGGCCGACCGAACACCAATGCACCAACGCCAGATTTTGTATATCGAAACTCACCTCAAACCGAGCAAGGCTTCGAATAGGTAGAGAGAGTAATGCTGCGGACCCCTAGGGGGTTGTCGGGTTGTTGGAGGCGGCCGAGAGCAAACTGGCCACAACACACACGGTAGGGTTCCCAACAGAGCAGCCGACACAACAAGCCTGAACAGGTTGAAGAAGGCGGCAGGAGGGGCTCGCGCGAAGACCTGAATCCGAGAGTCAACGAACGGTGACGGGGTTCGTGACGAGGTTGTCGAAGAATCGGCGGATTCGGGATGTCGTGGAGGAGTGAGAGCGGGAGTAGAGGAAAGGGTGAAGGATAGAGAGAGAAAGAGAGGTCGAAGAGAAGAGGAAGAAAGGATAATGGATGGGGCGTGATAAAGTGTGGACGGTTGGTGTGGTGGCGCATAATAGAACATTGAATGAATGGCCAGGCTGCTCATGCTCCAGTCCGGCACCTGGGAGGCAGGAGCTGGTTGGTGTGGTGTGTGGTTGGTGTGGTGTGGTGTGTTGTAGCGTGTTGTAGCGTGGGCGTCCCGTAATGAACACTGGGGCTGGGGCTCCCTACTCCGTGCTCTCTAATACCTCCATATACTCCGTACATTTGAGGTACGTACTATGTACATACAATACACACACAAATCATCGGACCAGGGCCAATCCGGACACATCACTTGAGCCAGCAGGCCGGGTTCACGGGTACATGCCAGTCCCAGAAAAAAAAAAAAGATTCAAAGGAACCACAGAGGCCACCCTGCTCTGCAGCCGGCGTGGATAGCGGCTACCACGGGCGGCAGGGCCGGGTGTCTGGCCATGATGTTCAACATTTGAAGTGTCAGGACGAGAAAAAAAAAAATCCTTGGATGGGTGGCATGGCACTCAGCGGGTACAAAGCCGGATCAGCGTGGCGTTGAAGAAGTAGCATGTACCGCCAAAGTTTACGCCTTTTTTTTTTCTTGTCCCTCACTCTTTACACCCGTTGCCCCTATTGCAAGTACGGAGTACTACTCCGTACTAGCCGTCAACGTCCGGAGGGCCTTCCCTCTTTTTTTTTGTACTGGTCACATTGTGCCTTCCTGTTTTTCCTCTTCTCCTTGGTCAGTGGCTGGGCCACTTTTGGCTCCTGCTAGGCGGATGAATGTATTTGGCGCAAATGGGGAGACTAGGGAGGAGCGCAAGCTCCACCAGACATGTACTCCGTACCTTTGCAGGCGCTGATTCGCCCAAGGGGAGTGGAATGCTTGTCTGAAAGGGCCAGGCAGGTCATGGTGATTGAGAGCTTGGTTGCTTGGCTTGGCTACAGCTGTGGCCTGCAGGCTGCAAGCGGCACACTCACCACCAGGCTAGAGCCGCAGCACCTGAGGAAGGAACGCTGGAGGGTGTTGGGGTTGGGATTGGGTGTGCGCATTTCTGGGTGGGCTGCAGACTTGGGGGCTTGTGGACTTGTGGATGCGTCAGCGGGCATGTTGCGGTGATTCAAAGACTCAGGGGGCCAGGGTCAACGTGGAGTCGCCACTGACTGGCGTTCGGCCAGACATGGCATTCGACCTTGTTACAGGTACTCGGACGGTTCTCATGCCGGCCACCTCCATTGACCCCAGGACCCCGAGTCGAGTCAACAGGTCTCGAGCGCTGTCTTTCTGCGTCTGCGTCTTCGTCCATGTCTGCCACTGCTGATCCCCAATACGGTGCACGGGATACGCGGCGCGGAGTACGGAACACTGCAAGTAACAATACTGCACCGAAGTGCGGAGTCCTATGGTACAAAATAGGGCCAAGGGAACGGGAACTAGGTACTAAGTACTGGAAAATTGGGGGGGCGTTCACTAACGTTCGGTATGGCTTTTATATGCTCCGTAAGTACCCCATACCTTGTTGTCGATTTTCTCCTGTCGTCCCGCAGGGGCCACTATCAGACTTTTCATCATCTGAATTCTCGAGTTTTTCAGGCTCCGCCGAGACTCAGCCCAGATACGTCGAGTAAACACTGGCTCTTTCGACAGCCACCGATATTTTTTTCTGTCCGCGCTTGCGTCGTCCGTAGGTGCACAAAATTACCGCCACCCTTGCCTCCTTGCCCCCATCACTGGCCTGTATGACACAAATCACCCCAGGCAGCCAGCCAAAGGATGGGTAGCGAGGACGCTTTGACACCCGGCCGGCGAGAGTGTCGTTTTTTCTTATTTCCTTTTTACATTACCGTACCAAATACTGAAGACGTCCGAGCCGCCTCGCCGCAGCATGCAGCACCACCGGGGTACCAGTGACGAAGTCAAAGGGTCATGGCGAGGACCGCATTTGACATGCGTTCTCGTGAACTTTGCCACCATTTGCCTTGCCTCTGTCAGAGCTTAATATTCCATGTCCTCCGGACGGACGCACTAGGCATGCAATTATACGCTATTTGCGTGTATGTATTTTACGAAGGTCGGCTGCCACGTTCAAAGACGCCGGGGTCGCCTGATGTGATGCAGGCGAACGGAGCTATGGAGCGGTACGAGATGACCTTGCCGAAGAACGACCCAGGTTGCCAGGCAAAGGCCAGGCATCGAGTGCGTGGTGCATGCTGTTCACCATGTGCCCCGTAGCGCTGCGTACATACATACGTATTCCAGTCTGATCTCTTGGCCTCGTTGCCTGGCTGTTTACTCGGTATTGTTTTTGTGCTAGGTATCGCTGGATTGCTGGTGTCTAGCGTCTAGCGTCTACGGAGGTCCTCCAAAAGAAGCACATGAACCCACACCAAATACCACACTTCAGACACAATCACACAAATCCGCAGGAAACGATGCCATGCTCCACGCCGTTTGTTCTGATGGGCTCGTCACCACTTCCTTGCCGGCCGGGCCATTTCTGTATTGTTCCAGAACGAGCCGTCTGTGGGAAAGTAAAATTATTCGAGTCGATCATCAGCGTGGGAACCGCGGAGCCAAGTGCAGAGCTTCGCAGCGATTCTTTTTTTATTTCCTCGGCTTACCCTTCTAAGGTAAGCTCATCCAAGAATCATGTTGACTACCTAGGAACTACTACTGGATCATGACCAAACGGTAGCCCTTTTTTTAACAGGACAGGCGCGGGTAGTAGCTGATACCAACACAAGTTCCTCTCCCCAGCAGCCATCTCCATGGAACCTTGGAGCCGCGTTTCGTGGGTGTCGGACGTCTGGCGGGCGATGTACCGATGACTCGACCCTATTATTACTCCATACATCTGAAATTGTTGGAGTCCCCCGACGAGCTAGCACATCGCGCGTGGCAGTGTTGGATAATACTAGAACCAGCACGAATGTACTCGATAGGACCACCCGCAATCCCTAGATGGACTCGGTGGTGACGTATGCCCAGCAACAAAGGGCATGGAACGCAGTAGTGAATCATTCTTGTACGGAGTACTCGGTACGGAGAACCCCAATTTGCTTCACACCGTACGGAGTATGGACCATCAGACTCGCCCGCGTTGTGCGATTTGCTCCTTGGCAGTCTCGCACATCCTTTTTCTGACCGCCGTGAGGGCATGAGCAAAAGCCACACCTGCGGATTCAATGCCAGTGCTAGATGGGTACGCCTCCCACGCCTACGGAGTAATGCAACTACTCGTAACACTTTACTGTATCGCGCTCTCTTGTAAGGAGAGATCACCGGGCCGGCGGCAAAGTCAATGCGTGGCGACGACAGAGCAGTGGTGCCTGCCTGCCGTCTAAAGCCATGATGAAGCCCACCCAGGCCATGACTAGTAATTATGTCGACTACAATGTACATACGGAGTACAGTATGTGCATCCTCGGATAAACGATGCGGCCTGCGTGTTGCACATCATTGTGCCAAAGACCCCAGCGAGGTGGAAAGGGGAGACAAGGTTGGAGCCAGGCAAGGTGCACCGCCATCAATCTTGAAGCACGGAAGATGGGGGAGAGAAATGCCTCAGATCCACCAGATGATGTCCTGGAGAAGATTGGCTCACCACGGGCCCTCGGCGGCTCCAAGGACAAATGTCGGGGTTCAAATTTAAAGGCATGACTGAAGGAGTGATTTGGTATGTACTATTCGCCAGACATTGGTTGCATACTGTACAAAACGACGGCGTATCGAATATGCCTACCCAGCCAGCCCAGGTACTTGGTAGACGACTATGAAATTGTGGAATACGGCGCCTGGCCCGGGCACTGTTGTGTTTCTGCATACATACACAGATGCAGCACTCCGTACTAACAAGGACCATGTTTTACACAAAAATTAATTCATGGCAGTAGCGGGACCAAATCTCCATTTATCCAGGGTTCAGCAACGCCGACTCTCTCTAAACCCGAGGAAGACGATGTTAAATATGGCGAGGCTCACAGAAACCAGCGGGGATACAAGCCGAGGCCCTTTTCTTCACAAGAGTTGTTGCTGTTGGACATGCGTAGGAACGTGAGTGGCTGAAGAGCGTGATCCACGACAGTCACTTGACACATGAAAATTACCGGCGCAACCAAGTACGTACGGAGTAGGGGTTTGACACTTTCCTTTCCTTTGTTGAAGACGGTGAAGTGAATGCCCCGGTATCTCGTTGTCCCAGTCCGCTTGTCATTGTGTGTGTCAAGGGTACCTTGGTATAGGTGCGGCATTGTTAGGACATGTTGGGACGGCCGCTAACGAGGTCAGCTGGCTTCAATTACAAACACCAAGTACGCAGTGGACGGCAGAAGGCGAGGAATGCCAAAAGTCGCCAGGCATTCCCCGACATGAAACTTTGACGATTGTGCCTTTTTTTTTGCACGTGTTGCGTATGTATTGCCGGGTGCATTTTTGGCCCGAAACCAACAACTTCATGGCATTCATTCATTCTGTACAATGTCTATACTCGGTATGTACGGAGTGCAAATGCTCATTATCGCCAGTCAGTCAACACCGACGGCGTGTGTACAAGCGTCCGGCACAGAATTATCCAGGAGTCAGCCAATCAGCGCTGCATCGTTGCCAAATATGCTGACTTGGGGTGTGTGTTTAGGAAGCACCCACAGCGTTGGGACCTTCAACCCATTTTTGATGACGAGACAGACAATGACGACTGAAATGGCCCATGCAGGGCAGCAGGGTTCCGCCACGCGTCTTTGATATTTCTCAGTACGGAGTAAAAATAGTAATTATCGTCTTGGAGATCATTAATCACCCATCACATATTCATATTGCGGACACGGCGGGCGAGATGACGACCTACGGGGCGTGTTTGGTCGGCAGAAGATTGCCATTCTGGAATCAGGGTCACGATCCACGCTTGTTAATGAAGATCAGTCGTCGCCTCTTGTTGTTGGCCGTTCACGGCGCGCTCCAGTCACCAAACTTCAGGGTCCTTCAGCCCGCTGGACCTGCTGCTTCGCTTTCATTGTCTTTCCGTCTGTGTGTGTGGGTTGCGTGTGCATTGGTTGGTCAGCTTCGAGGAGGACACAAGAGACCAAAAATACCCCAGGAAGACGAGTCCGACTCGGCGCTGGTGCTGCACACGGTGGCTGGTGACGGGAAGCCAGTCAGACTCACTCACCCTGTTGTGTCGCCTTGGGTCCGTCCGGTTCAATGTTCGATGTTCCGGGTGGGCCAAACGTCGAAGCTAGCAACAAACCGCTGGCAAGCAAGACGTTGGCAATGCGTCTTGACGAAGCCGCCAAGTTCTGCAGGTCCTCCAGGGGATGCCATGTTTGTGTGGGGAAGTGATGGGAAACAGCGACGCCTCAAGCGCCCACCGCAAGATTCTGTTGGTGCTGGCCGTGGACAATTGCCGAGGATAACATAACGTGGGCGCGCTGCTCAGCATTTTATATTTAGTACGTGACCCTGGAGTCTCCAGCAGGGGAAAATGGGATAGAATGGCCGTTGGTCATGGAGCTGACCGAGGCTGGCTGAAGCCCGGGCGGCATGGCGATATGGTCAACACGCCGTGCCGTCTGACTGACGATTTGACGACTTGAAGCACTTCCGGCGTCATGTTGCCTCAAGAGGGGCTGGGGCTGGCATGCCCTCGCGGCGGAGTCGTGATGAGGGGCGGCGTGCAACCTGACATGCACAGGTTGTGATGGGAACGGCGTCCTTGGAAAGGCCATCAATGGCTTTGTCCAGCCGACAGCCTACTGTTACGGAGTACGGAGTACCGACGGGGTGCATTGTGACGGCAAAAGGCGGGGAGGGTGAACATTGAAGTGATGGCTTTCACGGTGACGAAGAAACCAGTGACAGCCGGAGGGTGTAGGGTCAACGGTTTGTTGCAAGGTGCCGTATTCCGTTAATACCCTTTGTCGGTAATATAATGCGTTTCTGGGGCGAATCATTCCCGAGCACGGCACCGCCCAGCATCTTGGTCCCGGGTAGTTGCCAACTCCCCACGCATTCGCAGCAACCTCCATGGCGGATATACCCTCGGTGCAGGCAGATGCAAAATATGTATGTCCATACACACCAACCGGCTCTCGCCGACGCTCCCGGCTGAAGAACATAAGAGGAGAAGAAAAAAGTAGACGACAGTCCACAGTACAAGACGTGTTGCTCCCGTGCCAGAGAACACAATGCGTAGATGACAATTTCTGCACCATCAGCAGGGTAGCGTCGGTGCTCTCATTTCTCCACCGGCGGCTGCAGCATCCCACGAGTCTCGCACAGCTCTCCCAAGGCACGAACTCGGCTGTCGTCTGTCAAGGCTCCTCTGTGCAACGAGACCCCTTTTGGCCACGCTGATCCGGGGGTACGGTAGCCCGAACACCAGACACGTCCTCCGTACAACATAGCTCCCATTCGAAAGGCCAAGAAGACATCCATCCATCCATCCATCCATGTGACGATACCAGACATCTGGCGATATACTTCAAAGAGTCCTTACGGAGTACATACATTACCAGGAGTGACCCCCGCTTCTTGCTACTGTCCGCGGCAGAACCTTTCATCATCACCCCTCCCCGCACGAAAAGAAAAAGGGAGCCAAGAAAGAAGCCCGTTTTGTCTTGGGTTTTTTTTTCAGCAGGGTAGCAGCAGGCGGTACAGTCCCCTTTGAGCCATTCCAAGAAAGGAACCCCAAGGCACAAAGCATGCATGGAGCTTTGGCTGTCTTGTGCCGAATGGTCCTCGGCGGTGCGGGGGCTGCATGACGATGAACATTGAAGACATGGAAGCCGCTTGAGGGTGTGGGGGGAGGATGACGGGCTATCTTTCTCTCATTCACGTTGTCCAATGTCCTTTTTCTCTTTTTCCTTCTGTTTAGCCGGTCCGGAAGACCGGAGAGACATTCACATGGTACGAGAGAGCGTGGGAGGCGGGGGGCATACCCATTGGTAATACGGAGCAGGTTGTATGTTGGAAAATGGCTCGTTGGGTTGTGCATGACCATACTGACTGCATGGGTGGGGAGGATTGGGCTGCTTTTCCGGGGTACTAGATGGGAAGGAAGGTTTTGATACTTTTTTTTTTTTGCCATCGAAAAGGGCCTCGGAGGGGTGGATTTGGCCGTAGGTGGAATTGTGGCGTGGTGAGTCCTTTTTTTCTTTGTTTCTGGTTTTCTTGGAATCGGAATCGTCGTGGTGATGGGTGTAGGGTCATGTCTTGGGCGAGAAAGACGAATGGGCTCAAGTTTTTTTTATTAATTTTCGGTTGTTTCGCTCTGTAGTCAAATGAAATTATACGCATGATACAAGTATCGTGCAAGCGTAAAATTCAAGTTTTTTTATATTTCGTTTTTTATGCGTAGCCGTAAATACTCCAAGCACTTGAACAAATTACTGCCGAGTCTAAATAGCAATCAACCGCCGAGTAGAACCTGACTTGTACATTTCTCCCCCAGATGGCATCTGCGGATGATTAAGATTGGTTGCAAAACCACAAGCTGTACACGCTTGCTCACGCCTTGACATCACCTAGTCTTCTTCGTTGACGCATTCCTCCTCCTCGGGCTCAGCACGAGCGTCTAGTCCAGAGGCCTTGGCCTCCCGGGCTTCCTCTTCCTCCTCCTCCTTTTCAAAGTCCTCAAGGCCATTGGCCGTGGTGGCTCGCTTGGCGTTTGTCCTTGCCTCCTCCTCCTCCTCTTCCTTTTCAAAGTCCTCAAGATCACGGGTGCTGATACCAGCCGCAGCATCCTCTGCCTCCTCCTCCTTTTCAAAATCTTCAAGATCACGGGTGCCGAAACCGGCAGCGGCATCCTCTGCCTCCTCCTCCTTTTCAAAGTCCTGGAGCGCGCCGAGCCTAACGGCTCTCTTGGCCGCAGTCCGAGCAGCCTCCTCCTCCTCCTCCTCCTCCTTCCTCTCAAAGTCCTCAAGCGGCTCATCAGCAGCCCGAGCACCGAGGTTGATGGCATCGCCAGCAACGCCGCTTGCCGTGTCAACGACTCCCTGAACGGCGCCGGTAAAGGCGTCTAAGATGCCCGCCCGGGCAGCCACGCTACCAGTGCTAGATTCGCCTACATCTTGAGAGGTTGTGAGTTATGTACACTGGCATTGTATCAGGCAAGTAAACGTACCGCGGCGAAGAGTGCCGGCTGGGGCGGCTGAGACCGATGCCACGGCCAGGAGAATAACAGAAAAGGACTTCATGGTGACTGCGTGTAAAGAAGTAATGAAGAAAGGAGAAAAACGTAGTAGGTAGTATAAAAGAGAATCAGAGGACCGGCCCAGGGAAGAAGGAGGAAAAAGACTTGGATCAAGCAGCCATCGAGGTAGCGGGATACAATGTCTTATATGCCTGAGCTGTCAGAGTTACAACGAACGTAGTGAATCTGAGACGACTCGTCCGGCCCAAGAACCATCTTTCCAGTGATGACATGCCGTGAGGCCTGAAGCCTAGCATACTCGGATTTGTCCATCTCGAACGTTCATAGTCGGGCCCTTGAAACGCTGACGTGACCGTAGCATTTGCGGCCGTGGGAGAGGGTTCGCCGGGAGCGATTCTCAAACCCCGGGTTTCTGCTTCATGTTTTGAAATGGAGGTGGACAGCCACCCTCGGGAGCGTCTTCGGCGGTGGGCTCTGCACAAAGATGAAGATGGATCGTCGGGCGGGAGATGTCTGTTTCGATGCGGGAGGCGGGCTGAGCGTGTGCTCAAACGGGTTGTGTGAGAGAAGTGGTTCGTCAAAGATCCGGGGTTGGTGTGGATGGCGATTTGCGGTGGATGGCGATGATGATGTGAGAGGGTTGATTGGGATGAGAGCTTGCTCAACCTACGGCTACTCATTTACACATCATGTTAAACCATTATTATTTTTTCCAAAAAAAAAAAAGAAAAGAAGAAAGAAAAGACAACAATTCATTGTGAAAATTCATCATCATCATCTCGGCAGAGCCACGCAATGAGAGTGGATCATCGCGGGGGTCAGTGCGCAAGGGGCGTTTCGGACACCATTCAACGACGACGCTCACTCTCCTCCGCAAGAGCCCTCTCACAAGCCAAGAAGAGCGAGGGGACATTTCCTGCCGTGCACGTCATGTTGAGCATGGGCATGGGCATGTAGAGACTGGTGTGTCGGGTCGTGCAAGCACGTCTTGAACTCTTGTGTCTCTCGCTCACCATGACGATGAGGTAGAATGTCGATATATTCATCCACCCGATTTGCCCACCACCAAGGCATACATTACTCATCGCCATCGTAGTTGGCATCATGGTACATCATGTAAAATGGCCCTTTCATCCACAACCTTCTTCTCAGTCCTTCTCCCTCCGTTTAAGAATCCCAATATACGCCTCCGTGTCAAAACTCCAGCTCAACTCGAACGAGTCACCAACATGAGGTACGTCCTCCCCCCTGAACTGGTACCAATCCCCGAGACTTAGGCTTATGTTGTCAATAAAGTAGGACGACTCCCCAGCACTCCACTGGGGCACCTCGACGTACTCGGCGTCCATGTCGTAAAAGACCTGGCCGCGCGTGTCCTCGAGCAGCGGCCCCTTTGGCACGGGAGCGCCGCGGTCAATCAGCCAAATGAAGAAGCCGACTTCCGTCAGCACAGCCCGCAGTATCAGGCGAGCGATGAAGCCGCGCGGGCTCGCCTCCCTCATAAGCTCGTCAGGACTCCCGGGCCAGTTTTCGTTCCAGCGCGCGTCGAACTCCAGGGCAAAATGCTGGACAGACGTCCGCTGCGCGTCCTCGGGCCCAAGTCCCCGACGCCCGCAGACGGGATGCTCAAAGGCCCGCAGGGTCGAAGGATGCGGCAGGATAAAGCCCGTGTCCCAGCCCTGGACATGGAAGCAAAAGAGGTCTCTGTGCGGCTGGACCATGAGATTCCACGCCGTGCCGCCCTGTCGTACCGTTGCGAAGGCCGGCCGGCGGCACCCGATCCTTTCCCGGCGAAGAAGCGAGTAGTGCTCCGTCTTGTGCTCGCGGTCTGATTTGGAGCGCCTCTCTATGACGTATCTTGATTCTCGGCAGGCTGTCCAGAGGCCGGCATCCCAGTAGTACACGGAGCCCTTGCCGGGCATGACGGAGGAGTTGCTCTGCAGGCGACCTATGTTCAAGACAACATCTCGTCTAGCGGAACTGCTTCCTCCAGGCTGGCCGTCTACGCCGACGTATAGGCTCGGGTCCATACTGTCCTTGTTTCCTTCGCCGTCGAGGAAGAAGTGGTGCAGACCGCCGGCGTGCCGGGGTCGAAGCGCAAGCTGCCAGATGTGAAGCCGGAGCTCACAGGGAAGTCGGGCAAAGGCGTGGAAAGTTGACGGAGCCATTTTGTTCACAGCTCTCAAATCAAACTCGTGATAATAATCAAGTGAAAGTTTTCGATGACAATGTTCAACAAGATACAAAGACAGAATGGAAAAGGAGAATAGGCAGAACAGGACAGGACAGGACAGGACAGGCTATTTACAAGAAGCAAATCTTACACGCCCAATGCTGCTACTTTTAGTTTGGATTCTTCATAACAGAGCTAAACACAACCTCGAGCAACTAAGAAACTCATTCATCTGGCTATTGTAGCAAGTGCGTTTACAGGCGCAGCACTAGGGTCGACCATCAAGGCATCATGTACGGTGCATCTGTTTTTAATCTTTGACGGTGTCGTGCATGTATTTCTACAAAGATGAACCGTCCCAGTTCTAGTGACCCCGGCCGTGCCACACGGAGTCATCTGTTTATTCTTGAGCTATTTAAAATAGCCTTGGCCACTCGCTACCTGCCCAAGCTAATATATGCACCAGTTCTTTAGACCGAATGGACTTACAAAAAAAAAACTCAAAAGGCGGTTGAGTCGTAGCACAACACACATTACTTCCCGAGGGGGTGCTAATGAACCACCACATAATATAAGCTTAGTATAACCTTGGCCCCTATCCGAAAGTCTATATTGCGCCCCAGCTTCTCAAATTCTACTCCCACGAGAGACCCGCCGCATAAGGAGCGTATCTCCCAGAGGTCAAGGTGAGAGAGTTGATAAGCGTCGGGAGGGAAAGAACAGGACACAAGCAGAGAGTGAAGGAGGAGGCCAAAGACCAGAGTTGGAGGTTCGGCTCGCCGTCTCGTGATATGCTGGCGATGAGCTGCAAGGGTAGGCCACGCAAGACGATTACGTTGGTGTTAGCCATGTGTAAACCATCGCAGCGATCGAGCCATAAGCTGGACAAGCACATACTGGCAGCTGTTTAGACGCAGACGAGAACAAATTATCATTAGACTTGGTCCGCAGCTTCCATACGCCCAACGCCCCCTCCTTGACTAAGAACTCCTATTATACAATGCAAACACATTCACTTCCATTCCATCCATACGCCCATCACATCAAACGACTCCCCTGAAATGCACGCCACCCTACGACATGCTATACGGTACTATCGCTTTATCAATAATGGGGTCCCGGCGCGACATCTTCTCCTTCTCCGTGCCCCAGCGCGACTGGAAGTCGACCTCTGCCTCGAGTGCCTCGTCAAACGCCTTTCGACACTCGGCCGGCAACAGGTCCTTGATCTCGTCTGACACGGACACCAGCCCGTTGAACGAAGCGACAAATTCCGCTGGCATCTCGCTGTTTGGTCGGACAGAAGCGTCGTTTCGCGGCGCGCCCTCGCAGTATGTGTCCATGACGAGGAAATTCCTGGCCATTCTGAGCGGCACCGGTGGGAACTTGACGCTTCCTTTGCTGGCTGCCTCTTCGTCGGGGCTCACTTGCTCGATTCGCACACGGGTGGGCTGCATTATGGCCGGGTATTGCAGCATGTTGGTGTGAATGTCGTAGACGCCGGCATTGTTGAACTTGCGAATCGCATTGATTCCGGCGTTGAATATGCTACACCATGTCAGCAGTGTTTTCAATATAGAAGAGAAAAAAAATCCAAGGGCAGTCAACTTCACATACCTAGCTTCTCGTGCATGCTCCAGCATCCAATTCTGGTCATTGACGTTGACCTTGCGCTTCTTGTATTCGGGCTTTCCATTGGGCACCGGCACAGACGGCACATTGGTATGATACACAGCACTGGCGCCGTGCCAGGCAACGTACTGGTTCTTGTTGTACTCGCCGGGCACAAAGTGGTCATCGGGGTCAGCAAGCTGGCCCTCAACAGCACCTTCTTCCCGCAGCTGAGCAACATTGTAATCGTCAATGATGCGCTTACCGCCAATAATGATCCTCGCGCCAAACTCCCTAAAGACTGACCGGGCCGTAACAACACCTATGGATCGGCCCTTGTAAGAATGTGGGATAATGTCTCGCTCAATCATGTCTCGCTTCTCGTCGTCGTCGACGATAATCTTGTGCAGCTTTCGGTGCTTCGTGAAGAACAGGTAGCTGTCTCGGAAACCAACACAACGAGCAGGCTCCGTCGACAACATGTAAAGTCGATTTCCACGTCCCAGGACGGTAAAGGTACGACAGCGATAGTCGCGACCGCCTTCCAGGTTCCCCAGCTTGTCGACCTTGGTCTCGCCCTCAGGATCTTCGGGTAGCACGCACTCGTCATTAACAATCTCGGCCACGGTACCTTCGGCGTCGATGACCTGTTCGGCCTTTGGCGCCGCTGGGCCTCCCTTGCGACCACCTCGACCTCTCCACCCCCCGCGACCACGACGTCGCGGCGTATCCTCCGTCACGGTAATCATGGGGTCCCAGTCGGGCGGCTTGTTCTTTGGCGGTCGACCCAACCGCTTTCTTCGAATCACAGGCTGAGGCGGCGGACTGGGTTCCTTGGCCTCGTCGCCCTCTTCCTCTCCTTCTTTCGTAGCGGCCGCTTCTTCGTGGTCCGACGCGAGCCTGGTTTCCTCTTGGTCATCGTCGTCGTCGTCTTGCGCAGGCGGCTCCTCGTGCTCAGAGCCTTCGTCAGCCACAGCCGCATCAACCATGGGCTCGTCCTCGGCATCGGCAAAACCCTTGGGCGTGCTCTCTGCAGTGTTTAAACTACGCGTTAGTCTTAAACGAATCCTGGTTCTGGGTGCCATGATTGTGCTGGCGAGCCTCTGTGCCAGTCAAGGACACGAGATGAGAGGCCAACGCGGAGAGGGGAAGGGAAAGGGCAACAAAGGACGGCAGGCATCAAAGAGAGAGAGAGAGAGAGAGAGAAGGCGCACAGAGCACAACGCAAGTGTAATGCGCGCGATCAATGCGCTTCCCTTGCACAAAGACAATGCCGTGTGCGGTTGTGGGTGATGCTGCTTGCGCTCGCTCCATGTAGGGAAAAAAAGATGGAGAAAAGGCCAAGAGAGAAAAGTGCATACCCAGCGCTGCCGATGCCTTCCTAGCAGCTGCGCGACTAGACCGTCGCCCCATCTTGCCAATTCACAGCCCGATATCTCACAGTCTTGGTCCGCTCGTAGGTGTAGGATGGAGTACGCGCGCCAAAGAAAGGTGCCCCAAGCAGGATCAGCTGTAGAAGTTGATGATGAGACCTGGTCTGGATACAACGACAGGTTGACGCTCTGCCCGCGATCCAAGGTCGATTTTGACACACGGCACGGTTGGGACTTGGGACGCGCCTTGTCGGATTGCGTGCCTTTGATTGGCCTCTTGATGAGCCTCACCGGAGTGTGTGGATGAAGGCGCACTGTACCAACAGCACCGTGCCGGGTGGCCCCTTCCCGGTTTGGCGGGAGACGAGGCTCTCCCGTTTTCTGCCACTCAATAATAACAGCTTCACATTTCCATGCGTCGCCATGGTTCGAGCAGTGGGAAACCAAATGTACACTAGTAGCGCATGCATGCATTCATATAGCCCACCCAGTGCAGCTGCCGTATTAATTTGCCTAGCAACTCAAAACATCGCACCGAGTAACTAGTTAGTACACAGACGGACACCCAAGCACTCTAGACCCATGCTCTCTGTTCTAACACATCAGACAAAAGCTCTCATCACTCCCCCTGTCCAATAAACTGTAGTACAGTTATATAGAAGAAAAAAAAAATAACTCGAAACTCCGTTTGCCTTTCCAGAATTCCATCATTCATCTATGAAGCCGTGTATCCCTTCTCCCTCGTTACAAAGTATCCCAACCTCCATTATTTATCTCGGCCTCCAGTTTGCGGCTAATCAGACTTGGCACGCCGTGGTTCAGTACTGTATTTCGTATCATGGAGTCATATCTCTTCTGGTTCAAGAAGAGCTGTCGGCCGTGACGAAGCTGAGGATCCGTCTCGCCGTATTTATCGATATAAGGTGCCGGGGCGTAAGACCCAGACTGTCGAAAAAGGTACACTATTGAGCATTTTCGTACATTCAAGTATACTCCGATATTCTTTTGGCACCTTATTTTTCAAGTGTTAGCCTACCGCACGTATCATGGCTGTCAAATAGGTAGGTCCCGAGCTTACTTGCGCATATGCTGTTGAGCACCACCAATTCTCGTCGTCTCCCGACCGACAGTCTCCGGCTTTTGGCAACAGTTGCTCTGACTGCAAAAGATTTCACCGCAGAACAAGCAAATGACCGGATCTGTGAGGTCTTTACCGGTAGATGGACACCTTCTCCTGATCGACTCTTCAATTAGTGTGTCGTAAGTCTTCGGGAGACCAATCAGTTCGAAAATGCCTGGATGGCTGACCAGGGCAGATTGGCTCATGTCTCCATAACCATTTGGCCAAACAACCTGGTGCTTGATCCAGCCCGAAACCAGGTCGTACGTTGTCATTGGCCAACCACACGTAAAGGCGTTTTCCGTCATAGAGGCACACATTTCATCAAAACTGGGTAGGCGAAGAGCATCTGTGAGGCGATCAAGCTCGTCCGAATCCGCATCCTGACTTGACGAGATGTGGCTGTTGAAGTCGACACCGTACTTGACGTACAAGAACACGACACTTTTCCGCAAAAAGGTCAACGCATACTTCTTCACAAAAGTGTACCAGCTTTCCAAAGTATCCACGCCTGGCTGTTGGAAACCCTTATTCTCCCCCTCATTGTCGCTGGTCTTGCCAAAGTTGGCCACCTCGAGTTCCATTCCGCATTTGGTGATTGCAAGCGCAAAGCTGGCAAAGTTGATCATGGCCGGATCCTGTGATTGCTTGCCAGCAAGGCCTTCTATCCACATGCTGAATGGAACGTTGCGCCCCATGTGAAACACAACCTTGACAAGTTCAGCCAGATAACACAGCCTGAGCATATGGAAAATTTCGGCGTTGTAGGCCGGTACAAGGCCATATGCGCATTCAACCAGGAAGGTGAATGGATCAAGGCTCAGCAAAGGTGGATAAGCGTCCAAAGGTCGAAGAACCGAAGTAGCTGCCAGCAGGTCCTGGGTTCCAACA